GATGATCTTTCTCTGAGACTTTTGTTTAAAAATTAATAAATATGCTTTTTCAATTAGTGTAGAAAATCTAATCCATTAAATAATTCTCTTTTCAATACAATTAAATTATTTATTCAAGAAACTAAACGTATAATACTGGTAGAGCTCTCTGTGTTATGGAAAACAAATACGAGTGAAACATGTAATAAGAACAAATAAATATTAAGAACTAATAATCGAATTAACGAAATATGACTATGCGGTTAATCTATAGTTATGGTGGAAATGAGAAGTAAACCAGAAATCTCACGACGATCTTCCAAAAGATCTTGGCCTGTATAGAACTATAGTGAGTTCTATACTGGAATTGTAAACTTGCATTGGCAGGTTCCTACCTGATTTGGTTGGGCAAAAAAAGAGTCGCGAGGGTTGAGGGTGTTGACGTATCCGTCGACAAAGGGGTTCTAACTGCTCGGAGAAACCCTCACTGCCACACGATGGACCAGGTGTCCTCACGGTGGTGTATCCATGGAATGTTGGTATCTTTTAAAATTGCTCTAACCTCTTTCATTAATATATTATTTCTAAAGTTCATGAACCCCACAAATATCTGATATATGCATTTTTGTATATAGACTCCACTTTGCGTAATATAAGTGACACTTCATATAACTATGTATATAAAAAAAAATGTTATAGGTTTATTACTTTATTAGGTTCTAGTTTGTTTTGTTATTTAATCTTCTACAAATTTTCGCAAACTCTTACAATTTATCAATCGTGTGCAGATCAATGTAACCTAGTGCCGACGACTAATGATCTATATAGTATTACGGTAATTCCTTGACAATGGATTGAATGAATCGTTGACTTTCCATGGGTACACATCTATGTATACGGAATTGCGGATGGACTGAAAAAAATAATATGTCTATTGGATGAGAAAATTATATCTTTGTATATTTTATTATTATTATGTATATTTTAAACAAACTACAATTACTAAGCATATTTCAGGAATCTTGAAAACATATGACGATTTACATGATAACTGTTAACTAATTTTCGATTTTGTAATAATGACTGTATTAAAGAGACAGTTATTTGACGTTAAACAACTACAAAATAGGTATACCGAACTAATTAAAATGTCAATTATGACAATCTTGCTATTTGAAAGTTTGTATTTGCACAAGATCATAAATATGTGATGCTGAGCAATTGTTTGAAAAAGCAAAGCGCCGGTTACTTGCTCGTTCTTTTGACGAGCGAATTGTTGTGACTGTTCAGGGGTATTTGTGTTGGGTCTGTATTTCTTATTTGTTACATTGATCATTTTTAATTTTACATTAGGTATTTTATATGGTTAGATCTGTAGAAATCAATATAAATATAAAGACATTTAACGATTTACTAAGATGTTTAAAATGTGTCTAGTGTGTTGAGGTTCCCCCTCCAACATACTCGCTTTTGTGGCACAGATTTACCTAATTCGAAAGTCAGGGCTAAATATAATAAATTATTATATATATTTGTTAATAAAGATTATCATTACCATATAATAAAGGGAAATAGTTGTTCTTTTGAATGTTGTATGAACTTACCAATTAAATTGGCACACCTCATGAGATAATATAAACGAAATATATAGCAAAACTGTTGTAACACCTTATTGATTATCCATATTTGCAAATAAAATGTTGTTATTATTATTAAGGAAAATAATATCTTTGTTATTCTATTATATAATTGTTTATAAATGTTTCAGTTTATATTAATTTTCGTATAGTGACGTTTTGAGTATGTTAGCGTTATTGTTGTAAATAATAAACATTACATAATTGTTCAATTTATGCTGATCATAACCATGCCTGGTCGTAATGGCGCGCAGGGACTCGCTTCGAACAGGATGGCCGAGCTGTTAGCTTCAATACCTAAAGAACACTCGGTTGACTAATTTGTTACTTACATTTCATTCATTAAAAACCATAGTAAGTCACGTGTATGTTGGTGACGTCACGATTATACCGCCACCAATAGTTATAGAGATAAAGAGGCCGGGAACAAGGCGAGAGCGGGCTGCTCTTTCTCTGTTCGAGGCGACCGAGACGACCAGACGTGAATGTACAGCGACGCAATTTATATGGAGTGCAATTTGAAGAAAGGAATAAACTGGATGTACTACTGTATCGACGTATCATTTCTGAAACTTCCCAATATTATGCAGTTATTGTAAATGTATATTTACATATTTTTATTTGATTTACACATACTTGTTTTATAATTTTATCTATTTAAATAGCTCAAAATAAATATGTAAGAAAATTCGATAGGTTACATAAGTTTGGACATCCATACTAATGACTGATATATATATGAACTGACGGTAGATTTGACACATCATAAGAATAAATGAATAACCTACATGAATAAAGATATTTTGAATTTGAATTGAATTATCTATTTACATAACTCAAAAGATATCTAAGATAATACGATAGATTATATAAGTTTAGAGATCAGTACTAATAAGTAATAGTATGAATCTAAATATATATAACTCAAAGGTGACTGACTGACTGACATAGTGATCTATCAACGCACAGCCCAAACCACTGGACGGATCGGGCTGAAATTTGACATGCAGGTAGATGTTATAACGTAGGCATCCGCTACGAAAGGAGTTTGATTAACTCTACCCCCAAAGGGATAAAATAGGGGATGAAAGTTTGTATGAAACTTTGTCAATCTTAAACCGATCGGCCTGAGACTTTGCATGCATAAAGCTACTATGACGGGATACGTAAGAAAGGATTTTGATATATTCCACCCCTAAGGGGATAAATTAACGCGAGCGCAGCCGCGGGTAAAAGCTAGTATTACATATACACGAACTGACGGTAGTTTTGACATATCATGAGAGTCTGTAATAGACCTACATGAATAAAGATATTTTGAATTCGAATTTAAATTGAATTGTCTATTTACATAACTCAAAAGATATCTAAGATAATTCGATAGATTATATAAGTTTAGTGTTTAGATATTCTTGCTTAGGTTTCGACTTCTTATGATGTTGATAAACTACAGAATAAAAGCTTCCCCTTAATATAAATGCGGATGTAAAACGGATCAACGGAAGACATAAATTTTTATGATATTTTAAGAAAATAACCTTTTCATGGGAAATCGATTGAAACTGACAACTATTTTGTTATTTATTTTAGAAGTAATAACAAGGAAATGTAACTATTAATAAAGTTAGGCTGATTGTTTGTTTGTAGTCTATCTATAATGATTAGTAAAAAGCCATCAGGTTTCAGATGCTTATTACTATCAACTGTCAAAACATCATAAACATCATAAAGAAGATCTTTAAAAATATACACAGATCTATAGTATAGTAATGTTGTACCTAGATACTACAATTTATACATATAAATAAAATTGCAGTGTCTGTTTGTAATATTGAAATAACCATTTTATAGTACATGCATATAAATATAAATACGGTACATACATCAAAATAACATTTTGTACAATTGTCAAACATTGTCCGTATGTCCGTCTGTTTGTCCGGCTAATCTGAATCCGGCTGAAATGGCTGGACCGATTTTGTCGGGACTTTTTTGGCAGGTAGGTGATGTAATAAGAAGTAACTTAGGCTACTTTTATTTTAGAAAAATAAATTTATTTTCCACGCGGACGAAGTCGCGGGATCAGCTAGTCACCAATCTTCTATTTATATAATATAAGATTGGTATGAATAATCATACTCATGAATACAAATGTTTACATCTTGCGAGGAATCGAACCCGCGACCATCGAAAGTAAGGCAGCATGCTAAACCGCTAGAGCACCGAGGTCGTCAATAGAAAGATATTCAATTGTTTAGTACTATACTCAAGCTGTACTTAGTTTGGGACTAAATGGCGCGATATGAATTTTACAGGGTTGTTATTTTTTTTTATATATATGTAAATGTCCACAGTTCCGTGATAATATTAGTTGATATTGATTGATTGATTGAGAAGGGTTTTTTGCTAAATTCAATTTAACCGCCTTGGTTGAATGCTACTCGAACACTGATTTTATTGCTAAAATAAATGTAATGAGGTGAAACACATTATGAGGTGAAATTGCATGTATCGGCAATTGTGTATTGCACAGTAAGCAGGCATGTGCAGTTTTTTATGTATGATAATGAAATGGTGCACCCGCCTGTACTAACAGTTTACTCTGGCGGAGCACCAGTGGAGGATGATAAGATGAATATGAGGTGATGATGGGATGTCACATGGGATGTGTATGAGATCAGGTCAGTTAGCCTATCGTGACAAATTCACCATGAATTTATCATGATGGTTTCCAGGAGGAACCGCGTGGAGGTCAACCTGACATGGTACATTGCTAGCAATGGGATCACCAGTCCTGTCACCAGTGCTTCGTTTACATTCAGCCGCTGCCCCTGCCACTCGCGCTGCCAGTCCCCATGACTCGCGCACGAAAACCTGACAATCGAGGGAGCGCTGGGCAGCGGGAGTGGCAGCGCCAATGGCATGGGAAGTGTTTCCACTCGTGTTTACACTCTTGCGCTGCTCACTTCCATGCCCACAAGGGCTGAGTGTAAATTGGGCATTTTTTTATTGTATGATAACAATGGGAGTTGTTGGCAATGGGAGTTACTAGTTCCCATTGCTAACAATCCTCTTCCCCCTCGACAGGCGCGGTTTTTTTTTTTGTGGATGACAATGGAATGGTGCACCCGCATGCGCTAACGGTTTACGCTGGCGGGGCACCAGTGGAGGATGATAAGATGAGCATGAGGTCAGGTCAATTAGCCCATCGTGACAATTTCACCAGTAATTTATCACGATGGTTTCCAGGGGGAACCGCGTGGAGGTCAACCTGACATGGTACATTGCTAATAATGGGGTCATGAGTCCACATTACTAACAATCTTCTTTCCCCCCGGGCATGCACGGTTGCCTATACATGCACCATATGTGTTGTATACTCGCCTGAAACTCCAGCCCATGTTTCTCCCTGCAGTAATCCTTGATGCGAGGGTAGCATTTCGCCATCAACGTGTTTCTCTCCATGGTGGTATCTGAGAACAATAATTTTAAAGTCTGAAATGTATGTTATTAAAACTAAATCTGCGCTGTTTCTAAGTTGATTATCGCATGCCTCTTACTTGTTATTATGTAATTATTTATTTTAAATAACATTTATTCAAAATAGCAACACACAAGTTTCTTGCTCATTCTTATTGTGATGAGTCTGCGTTCTGAATGAGTGGTAGTATAAAAAAAATATGACTATTCAAAAGTGCTTGTATTGAGTTTATTTGAATAAATATTATTTCAATTCTGTACTATTATGGTAACTATCCCGTTTATAGAATAATTACAACTATAGTTTTTGTATAGTTGTAATTATTCTATATATATATATATATATATATCAATCTGTAATTCTTCGTCATCATTCATGATTGCCTTGCCTTTATCCCATTATTTGTGGTCGGCGCAGTATGTCTTTCTCTTCCACTGCTCTATCGGTCGTCATATCTGAACATACTCTTCTTTTATTCATATCATCTTTCACACAATCCATCCATCTTTTCTTAGGGCGTCCCCTCCCTTTATATCCATCCACATTCATTCATTCTTCATCTATAATTCTTGAAAAGAAAAATAAATTATCAACTTTTTCTTCATTCGATTAAATTTGACACATTTATTTATTTATTCTTTTGCACACAATAAATTATACCTGTCGGACATAATGTCTGATGGCATTCTCTATCAGTCAACTGTCGCTATCTCGTCGTTGGTGGCGGTGCACATTTATATTAAAAAAAACACATAAGTACAGAAACATAATATATATAGACATATATAAAATAAATAAAAATGCCTTTCTATTTCTTACTTATTACAAAATTACGGTGTTAGTAACTTATAAATATATATTTATCTCCTTTTTTTAATATATAATTATTTAAGTATTTTTATAATTTTTTTTTTATTTACTATTTGTATTTATATATATATACATATATATTTAGCAAAGAACCGCACTTTGGGTAAAGGCTTCCTCCAAAGATATATATATTTATATGTTAAACTAGATACATTTAAATATATGGAATAAGAATATAATTATTTACCTAACATCTTATACATTTTTTTCAGACATTCATTCAGCTACCGTTATCACCTATAATATTAACTCTGAAAATATTACCAGTATTTCGGTAAAACCTTATATCGCTCCTCAAAAAGGCGACTTCAATTCAAACTCTATCGATTGCATACCGCACGATTTAATCCAGGGTTGCCAGCGTTAAGACACTTCGTCTCGTACGTAGAAAAAAATATACGATAAAATCTCGTATTATATTTGGTACATTTATCAATATATTTCAATAGACTTTCGTAGATCAAAAATAATCTTTATTCAAATAGACTTAATCACTTTTGAATATTCATGTTTTTCTTTATTCTACCACTCATTTAGAATAAAATAGAATAGAAAATCATTTATTCAAATAAACGTAATTTAAACAGTTTTGAATAGTCACAGTTATCCCTTTAATCTACCGCTCATAAAGCTGGAAAGCCCGGAAAGCTGTCTCATCACAAGAAGAACGAGTAAAACTTGTGTCTCTTTTATATAATCGTTGTAACTTTACATTTTACAAGTCGAAACGTGTGAATACAAATTACCAACTAGCACTAATTTATTAGGTCAAATATGAGGAAGCTTATATGTATAAAACATGTACACCCGTGCGAAGCCGGGGCAAGTAGCCAGTAAACAATAAGATTAAATCGGTCCCAGTGCAATCACTAATCTTTAATTAAAAAAATTAAATCACTAAAGTTGCTCTTAAGCAGACCAGTCCCTGCAAGCAGCACTCGTTCACGAGTTGAACATACAGTTGCCATCCCTTCTGTACACCCCAATCTAATCTCAATATCAATTTCCAAAGGATTACGGTAACATTTCGCTCATTCAATGCCTTCACAAGATGGTAGCAATATATTTTTATACATACTAGATAATACATACTACTAACCCTCGAGTTTCTCTAGTTTTTAAAATATATATGACGTAATCTAATTTTATTCATTTACAATAGATTTAGCCGTTTAGATGTGACAAAGTAACAAACAGACGGACAAAACTTTGTATTTATAAATATTAGTATGAATGTTTAACTGATATGAAAAAGATTTTATCTATCTAGAATATTTCTGGTTTTGATTCTTTTTAAGGATGATGAAGGAATGGTGCTCCCATTTGTGCTAACAGTATACGCTAGCGCAACCTCAATAGTGAATGATGCTTGAGGTCAAATAGGTCACTCTTGGATATTCACTGTTCTGTCAAAAGTTGCCAGCAGAAATCGTGTGGAGGTCGACCAGGTACGATACATTGCTTGCAATTAAATTACTAAATTCCACATTAATAACAAACCCCGTAGAATATATTTTACCAAAGTTACACATTTTAAAGAGTTAAGAAAGTTCTTGCCAAATTGATTATTAAAATTACTTCAAAAATAATGTGACTTCCTTGATTTTCCGAAGTGTAACACGATATTTTTAATCAATTCCCAAGAGTAATATTCACAAACTGAAGTGTACCTTTTTAAAAGGTTGGCAACACACTTGTAATAAATACCTTTAGTCTTGCAAATGATAATGAGTGGAGGTAGCTATTTAACATTAGTTGAGCACGCTCTTTGTGACCTATGCTATAAAAAAAACATCCACAATTCTTCGAGGCTTATAGTAATGACCTAATTTTGTTGCAGCAGTAAAATCCGCATATTTACTGTAGTGCAGTGCGACAGTCGATATTTATTGATTATAAAACTGTTATCATCAATGAACGAGTGAAATATTCTATTTTATTACTTAACTTCAAGGACAATAAAAGTTAAATATTCAATAAATATAAATTTATAATTTATAAGCGGTCGAAGCTTGAAGGAACAAGAGGAGGAGAGTTGGAACGACATCTCTCTACAATCTTCTAATAGATCTTGGCCTGTCTAGAATTGCAGTAAATTCTATATTAGAACGTGTATCTAAAGCTACACTAGCTGCTACTAAATTTGACTGGGTAGAGGGATACACATGAGCAATGAAGGTGGGTGTTGATATACGTCGGAATAGGGCCTCTTAAACCTACACCCTGGTCACAAGTCCCGGGAACTGCTCGGAGTTTCCCTCACTGCAACATGGACCCGGCAGCCGCTCGGCGAATCCATGAAATGCTAAGAAGATCGTTCAATCTTGTCTATCTGTATGCCTTAGAGTAACTACAAATAATAATAATAATAATAATAATCTCAGGACAATTAACACAGCACCATCTAGACCCAAGTTAAGCTAGCTAAAGCTTGTGTTATGAATACTAGATAACAGATTTTTTTTTGTAAATACATACATATTATACATAGTAAACAACCAGACTGATACAAACAATCATAGTCATGAATACAAAATGTTTATGCCGTGCGAGGAATCGAACCCGCGACCATCGGTAAAGCGGTGTGCTAGACCGCTAGACCACCGAGGTCGTCAAATAACCTCTTTATATCCTGTAATTTTACCTTATCTCACCATTACAAACCAGAACATATCTTATAATTCTAACAGTTGGGTAGGAAGGGGATTGTTAGTATTAGGGATTATAACCCCCGGGTCACAAGTTCCGGGAACTGGGAGGAGTTCCCGGTCTGCCACTCCATCATGTCTGCCACACGATGGAGTGGCAGAGAGGGAAACACCGGTGAAACCTCCGAGCAGAGAAACCCGTCACGTTGAATCCATGGAATGCGAAGATCTCTAGATTCTCTTGATGGTAAGTAACCGTCGCCTATATGAACAGCATCACAGATATCACGCTATCATGTGATGACCGTGGTACCTGTTCGGACCTGTCAAACTTTCTCTATAATTCTATTCTATTTCTATACAAATTACTACATAACGCAACCTGCGCTGCGTTCAGAAATTTCTAGCGTAACTAAACTTCAAAATACCTTTGACGTATTATTTAAATCCGAGGCGGAACGAGGTTTGCGGAGTCAGTAAGTTATAATTATTTATTTCCACTCAAAATACAGTTAACAATGAAACAGATAAAATTAAATGTAATACATCGCACTATTCCAAAATGTACGTTAATTAGAAGTAATAAATTTCATTTCTACCTACTCACACCTTGGCCTCTCCCTCAAAATAGAAGCCGTTTGCACCCAGATACTGTGAACTCATTATTATGTTATACAATGCTTGTTTTTAATTAATCTATATTAATATCTAAGGGTTTGTTTATTTGTTTACATGTCCTACCAGTTGGATTTACAAACTCTTTATATATACTAGTATTATGAAGACTTTGACAGTGTCTTCGATTGAAACATTTGATTTTTGAGATGAAATTCCAGGAGTACTATTGTTTGTATTATTGAATAGTATTAGAATAGAAAATCATTTATTCAAATAAACTTAATTTAAGCACTTTTGAATAGTCATAAGATTTTTTGTTTATTTACCGCTCATTCGGAAAGTCTCATCATAAGAAGAACGAACAAGAAACTTGTGTGTTGTTCTTTTAAATAATCCTTATAACTTTACATTTACAAGTCAAAACAAACTACCAACCAGCACTAATTTATTAGGGTCAAATATAAATATACAGAGACACAAATATAAGATTAAATCAGTCGTAGTGATAAGAACAGAACAGTCCCTACAAGCAGCACTCGTTCACGAGTATAACGGATGAGCTAGCATTGAGGAATCGTAACCGCGACCATCAGAAGTAAGGCGGTGTGCTAAACCACTGAACCACAGAGGCCGTCAAATTATGAATATTATGAATTATATATTATACATTTCATAACATTAATAAGATTAACAAAAACTGACAAATAGTGCGTAATAATCGTTTATTAATTCAACATAAAATCATTCAGATGTATATCAGAGATCTTTGATCTCTTGGGGTGGAAATGTAAACATTGTTTGATGTGGCTGTTTCAAAAGTAAAATAATCTTAATATTGTTAAGAGAAAAGTTTTAGAATTCGAAATTAATTGCAGAAAAAATGTTCATTGAATAAATCAGTATATTTATATATTTATTTATTTAATTGTTCATATGATATTAAATTTGAATAGAAACTAAAATCTTTCAGAGAAATCTTCTTTAATAAATAGAATTAGAATATACCTATTTTTATATAATACCAGCTACTCTCCCCGGCTTCGCACGGATGTACATGTATTATACATATAAACCTTCCTCTGGAATCACTCTATCTGTTAAAAAAAACCGCTTCAAAATCCGTTGCAAAAGATTTAAGCATACATAGGGACGGACAGACACCGACAGCGACTTTGTTTTATACTATGTAGTGATAATACTTTTAAGATATAAGTGAGTTGGTATAAAATTAGACTGTAATATTATTTTGTATTAATTTAATAATAATAAATATTATTATGATTATTTATTCAGCATAGGATAATACAGAGTAAAAATATAGAAAAACTTAAAAGCTAATATCGTTCTATGAGCTGAAAGGGCGTCCACTCAGCTGGTGCCGCAGCGTGTCATTGCAGCCCTGATTTTCAGTGGAGTCACATTTAATAAATAAATTCCTTGATTTACCCACCTTGTTTTAACAGGTCGACAATGGATCTTTTCCCCTGTTGTTGCATGAGCTCATGGGCGGTAATAATTTACCATCAGATGTGCATTTTTTACTTGGGGTAATTCGTCACTCTAAAGAGTGAGTACTGCCAGACTCCTACCAGCTAAAACTCCGGACCCGCCCGCTCCAGGGGTAAAGAGCGGGTACTGTCTAAAAGCGGGATTCCTACTAGCTAAAACCCCAAGGTGTACCACTACCGCTTATTGCCGTAGCTACGGACGTGCGCGAGCTTTCTTCCGCAGTTCCGACGTCGGAGATCCATCTCAATACTCTTCTCTTCTCTTCTTCAGGAGAAGTATACGGGTACATGAGCACCTCATCAGGGCAGGCGCCCCATAAAAAGTGGTTACCTGTAAATGTGGAGCTGGTGAAGATCCTGACAATCTTGGAGCTGACCGGCGGGAGGGACTTCAAGGATCCCGCGAAAATGAGGTCTACGGTGCGGTCATCCATTTTGCACGTTGGTAATTAACGGAATTATGTTGAACTGCAAAATAAAACATGTTTAAGAAATATAATGAAACTAGCTGAAGTGCGTAACTTTATCTGCATCACACTTACTTGACATTTATTATTATATTTCGCCTAATTTACATAATATCTTTTTAAATTATAGCCTATGTGTTATTCTGATGTATAAGCTATATTATTATAAAGTTTCATGAAAATACGTTTCGTAGTTTTTGCGTGATAAAGTAACAAACATCCATCCATCCATCAATGTATAATCACAAACTTTCGCGTTTATAATATTAGTAAGATGATTACAAAAACAGATAAACAAGAAATAAGCTGTCTTTATAATTAAATAAAAACATATATACAGATTAAAATACAAGATACTTTTACTCGAATTCACGCAGATAATGCCGCGGGATGTAGGTAGTAAAGAACAATAATAATAGTAACCCAGGATAATTCCCACAGCGACATCTAGTACCAAGCTATGAAGAGCTTATGTTATGGGTACTAATAAACTGATAGATGTACTTAAATACAATTTTTGTAGATACATATGTAAATATAAAACATTCAGACCGATACAAATAATCATACTTATGAATACAACACAACGACGGAATCGAACCCGCGACTATCGAAGTAAGGTGAGGTGCTAAACCGCTACCGTGTGCAAACATTGACAAATATACATAGACTTAAAATTTTACTAACATCAAAATTTGTTTGGTATTATCCAGATTTGAACTCACAACCTTCCGTCCATTAAGTAATAGATATAAACCACTAAGTTACTCCGCTCTCAGTAAGTAACAGCAATCACTTAATTGCATAGTTTATCAGTAATTTCGTTTGCAATGAATTGTAACTTGTTATCGGTGCATATCAGCTCTTATCGCGGAAGGCTATCAGCGGTGATAAGGGATGTTTTAGCAAACTTGCAAGCTGTGATAACGCGAATTGATTCTGGGAACGCGAGGTAATTTATGTGGTAGATCCTCACGCGATGCATTCGACGCATTCAGTGAGCACTCCCTACATTATCCAATTAGTTTTATTTATCAGCTTATACCCAAATGGAGATACCTGTCGTGAAGATATTGGGAAAGGGAATTTATTTTAATGACATGATGGTAAGCAGCACACGTTACCTGATATCACTATAGAAGGAGATTGTTGGAAATAGGTAAGGTCGACCTCCACGCGGTTCCCGCTGGAAATCATCGTGGTTACCTCCTGGTTATATAATCACGATTGGTAAACTGATTTGAACTCATTATCATTTTATTCATATAGAATTTATATTTGTACTTAATTATGTATGCACAAAAAAATATCTAAGTATTTGTTCAGTAGACTATAGTAGACTGTAGCCTACCCCTATCTATAAAAAGACTAGCTGACATTTTTTTTTTCGGACTACTCTAATGCTGTTGTCCGCAGCTGGCCTTTACACCTTCACCGGACGATAGGGGGCGAGTGCAGATGGCACTCCAAACCCGTGGAAGGACTTATGGAGCGGCTGAAGGCCAACTCCTGCCTGACGGATACAACTTTAGTCTGAGCACCACTAGGGGTTCGAACCTCGGCTCAGGCCCTCGTAATATCGATCCCCGTTTGAATTGGACGGGGATCGATCGGAGGGGGAACTAGCTGACATGTCAAACGTTTTTTGATATATTAATGAAAGTATTAATATTGCTGATATATATTTTTTTTTAATTGTATAATATCTGTTTTATAAAGTTTATATATGTATTTTTTTATTGTAACATATGTGCGTCCGTACTGTGGGCCCAACTGAAAATCATCGCTGGAAACTGTTTCCAGCATTATGCTGAGTTGTGGTCCACATTGACTCTGTTTTTTTAATGTATAAATTATTCTTATACTTCTTATGTTGTTACTGTATAAAACGAGTTAATAATTTCTATTCTATTAAAAATAGGATTTACTGGTAGAACGGTAAAAATAGAGTTTTTATTTTTCGGCATTAAAAAATATTTTTTTTTTTAATTTCTAGAAATAAAAACATTAAAATACAAAATAGGAATATGTTAAGCATAAAAAATGGTGTCAACAACCCTTATCACTTAGAGGTATGAAAGATAGTTTGCGTCTTATTCTGAGACCGTTCTGAAAGAATTCTGTTACAAGCTCTGTGACACGAGAATTTTATATAAAGATAGTTTGCGTCTTATTCTGAGACCGTTCTGAAAGAATTCTGTTACAAGCTCTGTGACACGAGAATTTTATATAAAGATAGTTTGCGTCTTATTCTGAGACCGTTCTGAAAGAATTCTGTTACAAGCTCTGTGACACGAGAATTTTATATAAAGATAGTTTGCGTCTAATTCTTAGACCGTTCTGAAAGAATTCTGTTACAAGCTCTGTGACACGAGAATTTTATATAAAGATAGTTTGCGTCTTATTCTGAGACCGTTCTGAAAGAATTCTGTTACAAGCTCTGTGACACGAGAATTTTATATGATGAGACAATTGGCGGACTTAACACCTAACAGCATTATCCACTGGTCAAGCCGTCTAGTGATGTATAGATGTATAGGTATCTATATTTATATGATGAAACAAATGGCGGACTACCGTCTAGTGATGTGCCTATCTATATATATGTACAATCCTCTGTAGTACTAATGTTTGAATACCCGCAAACCTTTCAACGCGCTAACGTACCACCGCATATAAAACTACTCCAAAACCAATAATACTATCGCGAACTCATAAATTTATTATTAGATTTAAACCACGGTTGGAGTTTATGTCGTAAACTCGGCCGCCAGGGGCGCTGCGGCCGGTAAACACATGTCCTACGACTTGTACTAGTATTTAAATGTTTACGACTTACAAATTATTACTACTCTGTGGTGCATATATCCTGTTATTTTACGAATATGTGAATGGTATATTTTTAATTTCAAATCTGTGTAAAAAGATGGTTCCCAAAGTTAGGCGACGATATTGCATCGAATCAAAAATCGTTCATTCATGTAGAAGATGTTAGCCGCTTATGAACTTTTTATTTATGTATTAATATTTATTTCCTACCATCTAGTTCAGTACACAGATTTAATTGAGAACAACTGGCAAGAAACTTAACGGAATTTCTTTATTTTAAAGCCAGTTTATTACATAGTGTACTTATGTAGGTCTGTGTACTATGTCTTAAGCCTCTATGACTAACTTTGAAAAACCTCAGAATTATTATTATAAATACCCAAACTACAAAAAGTATATATTGAACACGGCTTATATAATTAAAATCTTCACCGCCTTACCTCTTGGTTGTGGGTTCGATTCGTCGTACGGTAATTACAATGACATATTTATTTATATTTAATGAACTCCCTAAAAATAAATTTCAACCTTCGCTTAGCTTTAAACTTGACGATACTTGTACACAACCTTTGCAATCCCTTATAACCCTTTTTTCATATTAAAAAGTAGCCTATGTCCTTTCTCAGGGTCTAAACTACCTTTGTACCAAATTTCATTTAAATCGGTGTCATTTAAATTTCTTTCGCATTTATAATATCAGTAGTATGGATCAGTAAGGATAATCAATAATAAGTACAGGTGTATATTATCTAGTAACTCATATTTAAAATGATAAAGTTACCAATACACAGAATTTCGCATTCATTATAATTTTAAAGCATAAACTTTACTTTAAATTAATGAGAAAAATCTTTAACCTAAAAAACAGATAAAGTTTCAACCCAATTGTATATTATATTTCGACTCATTTCACGAACTTCTTTCGTCCAACTCTCAGCACTTTGAAAACCTCTGGTTTCAGTATTAAATAATAAATAAATAAACCAAGATAAAATTTGTTACACCCATACTAAGATGGGTAACAAATTTTATAGAATTTCAAGCAAAGCCTTTTAAAGTCATTGAGGAGAAAAAGACTTTTAAACATCTATACATACTTACAAACATATGTACAAATTTATTAAAATTATCAATTCAGAAACATTCAGAAAATATTGAAACCTAATCAATATTTATTTATTTATGAAGATATATTTGTGAAATTATAAACATACCTAATTCTAAATTTAAAAATGTGAATTAAATTATATCAGCCAGTGTTTTGTTTCAATAATTATAACATTCAATATATTTTCAATGATTGAAACAAAGATATCTATAACAGTACTAAATAGACAAAGACGACGTACTCACCTGGCCTAGTTTCCACTAGCTCAAACTTTAATCAATACTATTGCACCATTTTAAATGTTAAGGTTGAGGGCACAGTTATTTTCACTTTCAGACCAACCGAATACAACGCGATTCCTTTGCCAGCACCCGCTGCGGTAACAAAAAAAGAAAACACGCGCAAAAACGAATGAATTGGAATAAAAAGTTTCGTTTCTATTTTTAAACTATAAAATTTGAATTTTCAATTTTGGAACGCGTGGCATTCGGTCTGATGTCTGAATGAACTGGGTATATGCTGTTATAATGAAAGTAAATCTGTTTTTTGGTATCCAAGCAACAGTATAACGTAGGATTCTTATTGGTCCTTATAATTTGCGAATTAGATTTAATTTTCGAACGTGACTATAACATTCTGTTGGCCCTTTAATAAATCATTCTCATTTAATACTCCTTTAAGAAACATATTCGTAAAGTTCAAATTAGACTGACATGTATCTATAAAAGCAGGGCCACTGTTGCGAAGGTCCATTAAAGGATGGGTGGAAAATCTATTATATACTTGATTTGTTACTGATGTTCATATACATAAATATGCTTATCTACATAATTTCTTCATACAATTTCATAACAAAGTCGTGAATACAAATGTTTGCATTGTGCAAGGAAACGAACCCGCGACCACGAGAAGTAAGCTGGTGTGCTAAACCGTTAGACCTCCGCAACCCTATACCATGGCATAAGCGGCCACTCAAAAATAATGTCACACATTAAACTGGTGAGATGGTCGAAAATATGTGACAAGGAAT